AAGCAAGAAAAGGAAGCAGACATTCCCTGTATTGATAAGAAACTGGATTATCCGAGTAGATCTAACCTGAGGGTGTGGGATTTTTTGCTTTAGTGCAAGAGAAGGAAGTTCTCAGCCTTGGATGGAAAACTCATTTAGCTATTTATTTGTCCATATAACTGGCATTTCTTAAGACACCTCCTCTGTCAATTCTTGAGCATGGTCATTGACCTAACAGGTCCAGCTCAGATTCAGAGGTCATCATCTAATTTGAACAAGGCTTTTGGTAAATTACATATGGTAATTATTACAATCCTTTATCCTTCCTGCTTTTCCCCTGTTGCCTTTCCAACAGGAACATCTGCCATGGTACCACGAGGAGAGACGGAGAAATTGGTCAGCATTTGGGCAAAAGTTTCTGGGAAGGATATGGAAGCCAAAGACTAACAAGAGGTTTTGGCATTATTTGAAAATGTCCCTTCTCCCTGGTATTCCATTTCCTTGGGCACTTAAGTTAGGCTCATGGTGTAAAGGCCAACTGCTCCCTTAAAAACCCATCCCATCATCCTCAGCTCAACCTCAGAACTAACTGCCAGTTGCCACTTGCCTGTCCCAACGGAATTAACGGAAGCTGCCAACAGCCCTCTCCTGACCTCATTGGACAGAACCATGCCCTTAGCAGACAGGAGCTCCTCCTTCTTCTGAAATAGCCTCCCTGCTATCTTGGAGTAGGAAGTCCTCTCCTGCGGAGTCTGCGTATAAGACAGAGAAGGAGTTGGGCCATTCATTCATTTCCCCCCCAGGAACCCCTTTATTTGTTTTAACCCGAGTGTCTGGAATGGTCCTATGAGGAGCTGCTGGCAGGAGCAGACAGAGCCAAGGACAGGGTATACATGCAAGGAACTCAAAAGTGCTTCACAAGAGTCCACAGTCCCCTGACTACAACCAATATTGAAAAGCATTGAAATCCTGTGACTGCAGGCTGAATGGTAAAAGCCAGTTTAAATCAAATAAATATATTGATTAGCCCTGCTAGTCCTATTCCCAGAGAGCTTGTAACATAGGTGCAGACAGATGGAGAAGACGTGGAGAACATTCCTCACTGCACAAGTTCAGGGATCCAGTCCCTTTTGGAGGGACAGGAGTGGTACAAGTCTGGGAAGATGTGCATAGAAAGAGTGAAATTAGGCATTTGGAGGATGGAGACAGAACTAAACCATAATTGGGCCTGGAAGGAAGGCTGATAATGGGAAGGGGAAATAAAAGAAAAAAAAAAAAGAAGAAGAAGCTGCTCTGAGAATTCCTGTTCAGTTCCTGGCTTTAAATTGAAGGTCATGGCTGGTGGGTGAATGTGCGCACTCACACGAGCTGGCTCATATATCTGTGTTGGGCTTTTGGAAGATTTTCTCTGGGCTGAAGATTGTTAGGTAGATTAAATTATCAAGGAAGGTTATAGTTGCTTTTTCTATCACCAAGAAGTTGGACTTCTCTAAAATTCTAGCAGAGGTTCGCTGCAGTATCGAAGCAAAAACACTAGATTAAAATTTTCCCCTTGGCCTCCAGCAAGCTGCATGCTCTAGGAGAAACCATTTAACCTTTTCAGCTGTGCTCTGGAAAGATTTACGCCTATCTTACAGGATTCTTTTTAGTGATTTAGAGGGAGAATAAACAGGAAAAAGATAAGAAAACTGTAAAGAGCTCTCAACAGCCTCGGAGGGTGATGATCTTTATTACCCCTGCAATGATTCTTGCCTAGAGCAATTGTATGCACAGGGTAATCCTCTGTCTCTAGGATTCTCCTAGAAAGGTTAGGGTACTGATTTTACCTGATGTTTTAACTAAATCCACCACTCACTGCTTTACCCCCAGTAGATATGGGCCTGAGGGGGCCTCTACTAGCAACACTGAAGATCTTGGTTACAAATGAATGGAATGCATAAAGGGGAAGGGATTCTTGTCTACCTTTGAGAGCAATATAAACTGAGTGATTTTTGTTCAGTAATAGAAAGCAAATAGCATCTTGCCTCTTTAAAGCAACAAACAAAGGGAACAAAATTATACAGGCAACGAGGGGTTTTTATTCCCCGCCCCCCATGAATCCTGGTTACAAAGTTCACGCAAACTGTGAAGATGCATGGGTACCCTCTCCTCAACTCCTAGTGCGATATTTCCTATTCAGTGTGTTTCTTTACGAAAAAAGACACCCTAAAAATAAGCAGTGTCACACTTGCTTCAACTTGCTATCTCATTTGAGCTTTGTTTATGTTCACTTGAGAAAAATCTCAGGACATTATCTATTTTCTCTTCTGTAGTAGTTGATTCTTCCCAGGCTGCAACTGGGGGAGGGTAAGCGTAATTTTTCGGAGCACATACTCACTTTTTATTCAATGCAACCATGGGCTGAGCTCTCTGCTAGCGGGGGATAACTAGAAGCCATTCCTTTAGGGGGAGAAGAGATGTATATATGTACCTATATACCCCAGTATCTGCACTTAGGTAGACGGTGATTTGTCAAGAGGGAGATAACAGTTTGGAGGTCAGAAGGAGAAGCAGTTCTTTCTAGGAAATTTGATCTTGCCGATGCAGATTGAATGCCGAAAAAGGAGATAGTGGGCACTGCTTACCGGAAGTAGCTTCAAGCCAGGTCACAGACGGCCTTGCATGGTGGGGTAAGGATGACTTTTAGGGAATAATAGAGGTTTTGGAGGGGTAGGCAAGGGGATAGCATGATTGTCTGGCTGTTAATAGATTCTGAAATTTGAAATCTCATTTTTGAGAAAGAACTTGGGAAATAATTCCCATGGTGATTTAAGGATGACCTGAGAATAATTCAAAAAGGGGACAACAGTTTGGGGCTGGCCTTTCTGCTTACATGTTTTCTGCTCCCTACTCTCACTTTATTTAGCATGGGCGATGATGCACATGTAGTGGCAGAGTTGAGTTCTTTTGCAATTCCTGTCTGCAGTGGAGAGAAATTTTGACACAAGAAATCTGGACACTTCTAACTAAAATGCCAAGAGAAATCCCATGTGGTTGCAAGGGAGGCATGAACCCTCTCCGCCCAAGGATGTTTCTTGCTGAGAGGAAGGACACGGAAACAAAAAGCTACCCATGTGCTCTAGGGACCGAGGATGAAGGCATCTACTGTCTAAGGCCTAGACAGAGGTGTGCCCTAAGCTCAGGCCATCTCAGTGGAAGTCTGGGCATTGCCACTAATTTGCTGTGTGACCTTGAACAAGTCACTTTTCTGGGCCTGAGGCTCCTTATCTGTAAACTGAGCCGTTAGACTGGATGAGCTCTGACATTCTGTGGGTTTATGGGCCTCGGCGAGACTGCCGGACCTCTGGCATGGAAAGTCTGA